ACATTCAATCTGTGTAAACAAGTAAACACTCACCAATCCTTTTGTTTATGTCATTTGAGAGGAAGATAACAACTAGCTTAGAAACTATATCGACATGAAGCCTTGTAACATACATTCCCTTTTATTCACTCTCAGTAAAACTCATCTTTGAATTGAAGGGACGAAAGCTTTACAAAAACTTAAAGTTTCAAAATGTAATCGTATAAAGAGAGTCTGAAAACAAGTGTATTCTTACAAGGTTAGTATCTTGTAGTCAGTACGACTTTTTCTAAACTAATGTACAATTTGCTCAACGATAAAACAGTATTTACATAAAGAATATTACAAAACATGATTTTGTCCCGGTTAATAACTCTTTCCCAGGTTGATATAACGACCTATCTACCTCATATAAAGGTCATACTGAATATTCCATATTGTAGCATTGAACTAGAATACAATTGCAACCGCATGTTTGGTTTAGTATTTTTTTTTTGCATAATGATGGTATTAATAGGCAACAAGAGCCAATATCTTCAACCTCAAAATTCGTTTATGCCAAATTGATATTTATACATTTCTGCAAAGCAACGACGCTTTCGGTTCCGTACTTTTTTTCTTCTTATACTCTATGTTACACGAGATTAAATATTTCCCTTCAAATTTTGTCAAATGTGTAATCATTGTCTTAGTCCCTAAAAAGGTAGACCTCGATGTTAGTTGTTAGTTTAAGATAAATTTCTTTCCAAATGATATTCATTCATTCACATCTTTAATCTTTTTTCCTCCATAATTGAAGAGTTAAATATATATGCGTAATGAATGAATAGTGAATAAGAACAGAAATACGTGCACAATATTTTTTTTAACTAGAATATACACTTGTTATACACCAATAATACCATATTATCTGCCTGCATAGGGCAACTGACATTAATATTTCCAACAAACAATGCAGCGTTTGTGTTACATAAACTATCTAACAATTCATTTATACACAAAGTAAACATCCATGGAAGTACAATACCCCCCTTGGCTCGTTCCCTGTTCGATGGCGAACCATTTGGATTGAAAGCCTTGATACAAAACACAACTCTGCATATCTGTAAACATTGAAGCTAATATTTTTATATATTTAACAGAAAATCCCATTTGGTGCATTTTGAAGTAAAGACCGTTATGCCAAACGCAGTCAAAAGCTTTCGAAGAAACAAGCAAAAAGCTTATTAGCGTAATCTTTGGCATACTTATTAGCTTCATGCAAAGGGAAGGAAGTCATGACACTACTCACTTGTTTTTGAAAACCATTTTGTAGAGGACTTACGTAAAACATATTTTCAGACTTTAATCTTTCTAGGAACAATTTCTCAAAAAAAAACATGATAACAGGCAATTATGATATTGCACGATAACCATTAGGGTCAGCTTTTGATTTATTATGCCCTTTATATAAAATGTAGATAACTTGTCTTTTGAAGGACAAAGGGAGGTAGTTGGAACCTATAAAACGTTGAAAAGCTTTGTCAAACAGCTGTAACGTGACACATGAGCAAATGTAAAAATTCCATATACAAGTAAGTCGTGACCAGGAGCTTTACCTGTGGGTAAAGTTTTGCATACTCTTTCGACTTCCTCAACTGAAAATTCATCACAATTTGTGACATCATTCTCGTCTGAACAAAACGTTTCGGTAACTTTTGCGATTGACTTAAGTTTTATTTTTTTAAATAAAAATTAGGACTGTTTGATTCTTTATATAATTTACAGTAAAATGAACCCCAGTTATCTGCGAAATCTGTATGATTTTTTTTATCATAACACCATCTTTATTTCCGTCCCAGCACATCCGAGAGTTTTCTTATGATGAGATTTTACAAGACTCCAGAAAGAGGGTTGGACGATTTCAGCAGTTTCAACGATGTCGTTATTAAGTTTCTGAAGATATTCTTCTGATATGCGTCTGTGACGTTTTGCATCCTTATATTTTCTGTAGATTGCGGAGTCTGACATCCGGTAAATTTGACATATAACACTTTTGGTTCAAAAAAGGAAAAACATAGATTTCCTTTAACTTATGTTTCTTCATGACTAAAGGTCCTTGGGTCTTTATATTTGGCAATTAGGTTGATCATGTAAATGAGTTAAAGTGTTGTAAACGTTGATGACCTTGACCTTCATTCAAGGTCACACAAATCAAATGTGCTGAAATTAAAAAAAAATGTATGGGGAGTCAGATAAGGATATCTTTCTTTGCTTTATTTGTTTAGAGTTAACGATATAAAATAGTGTAATGTCCCTTCATATTTTGTTTAATCAATGGACAAAAGGCAAACAAAATAATAACTAGAACTGTAAGCCAAATACTAACTAATACCCCGCTCCTATATAAACCAGAACTGTAAGATCAAGGCTAACTAAGGCAAAGCATTGCAAATTAATCCATAGTCTCCCACCAGTAATTATCCATGTATATATGTCACTGACATACTTCTTGTACCCCCTCCCCATGCCAAAACATAACTTTCATACCGAATTTTGTTAGCCTAGATGACCCAGTTTTGCTGAAATTGTTCTAGTAGTTAAGGAAGAGTTGTCAAGACAAAGATTTTTTACAAAGGGCCATAACTCCTTAAAAAGGATCGAAATGAAAAAATACTACCCTGATGCACGACATCATGGGGTAATTACTATATCTGAAAACGTTTTTATTGAAATTGGCCCAGAATATTATGAGGCGGACAAAGTTTTTTCCACAAGAAAGGGCCATAACTCCTTTTTAAAGGGTCGGAATGAAAACATACTTCTTGGATGCACAATGTAAGGGGCAGTTACAATATCTGAAAACTTTCGTTGAAACTTACCTCATAAATTTGGAGGACATGTCCAGACAAGGATTTTTCAACACAGCCATAACTTTGTAAAAAAAAGGGTCAGAATGAAAAAATAATCCCTGGATGCAAAACTTCAGATGTTAGTTAGTTATCATATCTGGAAACTTTCGTTGAAATTGGTCCACTGCTTTAGAATGAGTTGACAGATTAAACGGATAGACAAGCCGATTCCAGTATACCCCCACCCCCTACACCCCCACCTCAACCCCGAACTTCGTTGCAGGGGTATAATAAAGTGTATACTAGTTTTATTATTAAGAATATTTCATAATTTTTAGATAATTGCATAGCTTTGTCTATAACACAATCTCAACCTTAAGTAGTTCTCCAGAGGAAAGATTACTATGGCAGAATACATATTTATGAGTTATTACTGCTGCACATAACTTTTAAACATGCCTAACATAATAAAGTGTTTTAGTATGATACAAACACAGAAAATGTATCGGTATTTATCATAATAAACATTGATAGTCAAATCTTCAATGTTATGTGAAATTTGGCATTGATCATGTTTGGCATGCTAAAAAAGTACTTTACCGGTTTTGATATTACATAAAAATAATTCTGTAGACAGAATACATATATAGGAAGATTTTAAAGAAGTTTGAAATATAGACTACTATTGTAACTATATAAAGGCAAGTTGACAATGTTGGTTATATTTTAAGTTTTGTGATTTTTTTTTGTGCGTTTTTCTAATTAAAAGTATCATTACGTTTACTTCGTGTATACCAATATGACATATTTAGTATCAAAATAACAGTAATTTTATACACGGTACACTATCATAATTCATTTTCAAAATAACATTGCCCTGTGATATTTATCGGTCATTTAGTTAGGATATCCCCGTCACTCAACATGGTGTTATGCAGTTATTGATCATTTTTATGTTTCTACATATAGCTAAAGAATAAAAGATTTCAAAGTTGGGGCTAAATGTTGACCCCGCTTTTGAAAATCCCCTGGGTGGAATTTCCCTATCCTACACCCTTGGGCATGAAAGAGTATTTTTGTCTCATTCCAACCAGGAATAATCTCAGAAACCATGAAAATGCGTTAATTAGCCAGCCAGTTTTAGCATATCCCATATTTGTAAACATAGTTTGCGCAGAAAAACGAATCACACCTTTCTAAAGTGTATGGTAAAAATATCGTAAAAGGTTTAAATTTCATCACATCGCCTTTTCCGCATTGCGGCATCGGAGAGTTCCAAATTCGTGACGTGCCGTCATTGTTGAACCATTGTGACGGCACGTCACGTGAAATGGAGTGTAAGAAATGTCCTACACCCCTTTCTTACCCTGGACAGCTCTACCTTACCCACAGGGAAATGAGAGAAAATTCCTCCCTATGTACTAGTTCATGTTAATCTCTACTGTCGCTGTTGTATTTGTATGATATATCCTTGGTATGGTATATCCTGTGTAATTGTCCTCGTATTAACTGAAAAAGTCCAGGAAAAACACAAAACGTGCTCCACTAGTTTGACAACTACTGCTAATTGGCCTTACTCATTTCACTCTGTGCGGTATTGTAGATTCAAACTTTTTATACATATTTTCCTATCACCAAGCTGAAAAAAACGAGGGATTGTGAACATTGGGTACACACTTTGTTATCATTCCTGCAACTTTGCATAACAAATTGATAAAGTGCTGTAGACTGTGTGATATTATTGTAAAAAAACAATTCCACTTTGTTTAAATGTTACTTATATTTAATACTAAACAGCAATAGTATCGTGAACTGTTTTTCAAGAATACGAGTTCCTCTGTACGCCTACACCAGTAAAGCACATTGATAGGGCGATCGCTATAGAAATGACACATTCAGAACAGTCAATGCAAAATAGACAATGAACAACTGATGATCTATTTCTAGATATATTACTACTGACAATACTTGATGGCCTGCTACAGGTCAGCCGTGACAGCTATTATGGTAACACTCACACTGCCAATATAACCCCTACACGAACCCGACCGATTATCTTTGATTTAGCATTATCTAGTCTTTTATGGTTGACCCCGTATCAAGGTATCTTCAGACAAGGGGTTTGGCTCGTGTGACGTGTATTGAGACAGTGTACGTTGCATCTCGTATTTGCCTGGTCACTGTGGCACGTAACTATGGATTAATTCACACCGATTCTGGAATTTCCTTATCAATATGAAGTGATGTTCTAACTAATACTTGTTTTGAAAACTTAAGAACTATTTAATTAAAGGTAAGTGCTGTATCATAACAATTCTCCATTTACTAACTGTCTGAAGTTTTACTATAAATATAGGTGGAATTTTCAAACTCCTATATTTTGAGAGCATTGTATGAATTATGCATATTACTGAGCGTGATCGTTTTGAATTCAAGAATATGTATATTAATTTTTCTGTTTATATCTGATTATAGAATTATCTTTATTTATTTTACTTTCATATTCCCATTATAATAGGGTAGTGCTAATTCATTACATATCGCAAAGCTGATAAAATCTGAATATGTACTAAGCGCTATTATTACTTATTTGCTATATGAATTTTGAGCTATTGTTCCGTACTTACAGTCATTTTCTATGAAAAAAGTCAAAATTGCGTGCATTGTATACCGTTGTTAAGCATACATGTTTAATTTGATTAATTCTATTAATAGTGTTCACCATAATTTGTTTATTTACGGTAATGTATTTAGTGTGATCTGGTAATTTTGGGAGATTATAAAAAAAAATGCACCACAACAAAAAAGCTACATCTTTTAAGCATTAATGATCACAAAATTTAAACAGTCATCTAACGGGTTTTTACTAGTTATATTGTGTAATAATATTTTTTTTTCGTAAATCATGAATTATGGATCATCAAAAAGAATGCAGTTTCAATGTGAACGTATTTCTGAAGTTATAACAAATTTACATTTTAATGGTCACGACATTTTGTGATTATACACGAAATAAACGACAATGTTTCCCTTATGAATTATTTTTTAATTTAAATTAGTAAACAATTGCTCACTGCTTCATGACAGTATACAGTCGGAAAGTAGTACAACAAAGGCATTGCTTCTCTAACAACAGTTAAGCTTACGGCCGTACATTTATGTAGACCGCTAGCTTGGTTCCTTCCGTGGTCGATCGATGTTACATCAAACATTTTAAAGAGTTTTTCATGTAGTTGATTGAACTTTTGTTTTCTTTCATGAGAGTATATTTAATGGAACCGTTCTATAACGTTACAAAATCGTTAACTGCATATATCAATTACTCTATCCAAAAATAATGACATATGAAACTAGGTTTTGAATACCATTTACTTACATAAGGAGTCTGTTATTATATCAAACATACCTCTGTGATCACTGTTTGCCGATGAAACGTTATTGACGGGAGACATCATGACAGTGTCATAAGTGTTGAAGACAGCATTTACCTGTTTGCCTCCGGGTATTCCATCAGGTTTTAGAATATCTTTGCAGTCGTTTTCGACTTATAGTGGCTCTTTCAATAACGTTTAGTGTAATACACGCAAAGAATTGTTAATTTTATTGTATGCTCGTTTTTATTTTGAATAGGAAGTATTTTATGTATGCTAAGTGTCTTTCAGTCCTTAGTCATTTTTGTCATGACAGCCAGACATGGAACTATCACAGACATAGGTATATGTCAGTTCCTACTTGTAAAATGTTATTACAGTGCTAGACAAGACCTGGCTAACGAACTTGTAGACATATTTATGTAGACAGTGCGTCACTTAAAGAACTGAACTGAACGCTAATTAACAATGACGTTGGTCATTTGTCATACTCTGTGACACTGACCACGGCCGCGTCATGACCCTTCACTAAAAACCAAAGATGACCATCAAATATGAGAGATAACTAATGTACAGGGGTCTTGTGTTAACTGTAGGAAATTTACCGAAACGGTAAGCTGATTTGTTTTTGTTTTGAAGTGTAAAGCGTGTCGGATGTTCTTTTTACGAGGTGAGTAACGTATGGATTGTTGATGAAATGTCTTTATATAGGTTTCTTTTAAAATCATATTTATTTTTTGGCTTTGATGTTACTTAATATCAACTTAGCATAATGTACTCAAGGGAAAACAATATCTTTTTTAAAGGACCAAAACCTGTCTATTCCGACACTATGCCACATAACATATTTGTCGGGTTAGATAGTGCGTCAGAATACACAGATCCTATGTACTAAATTCCTAGTAGTACATTGTATGCGCTTACAATTTACTTGCTTAGTCTTATTAACAGACATGAATATGCAATATCAAAATTAGCATTTATTACCCTTTTACCAATGAAATATGAAAAAGAAAATATCAGTGTGATAAAAACTCAATATCAATGTTTACGCAATTTTATATCTTCTCATGTGATGATACGGACCAGTATCGATTTGATATTGACCTTTGAAAACGATATTTTTTATTTACTGCAGCAGATATTCTGCTCAGCTGCAGATGAAGGGACGGTTGTATAAGTGGTTGTTTTGTACATCTTTGGTACAAACACAAAGCTATTAACATAGTTGATAACATTTTTTTGTGAGGACAACCTACCATAAAATAGCAGAAAAACGTAGAAAAACGTAGAATTGCCTTCAGTAGGCCATTCAAAATGGCGCACAACCATGTAGTCAAGGGCGACCTGGCGTCAAGCATGCTAGTGATTCCTACACTTTTTGATGCAGCAAAGGTTGGCTTTAAAAATGTAATAAATAAAATATTTAATGATTTTCCAGTTAAATAACATTTATTTTTCACTCGTTTCGTACCATAATATCGGTATTATGTCATACGAGGGAAAAATATATGGTATTTACAGTGAAACCATTAAATACCCTCTAAATACATATATACATATCTCAATTACCCATATACAAAGTAAAGTCATGTTTATAAAACAGTAATTATAATACAAAATATTACTTATAATGTTTCACCTGTTTGTAGTATATACATATGTATTATATATTTCATGAAAACTAACGTTGAGCTTATTATCATATATCGCCTTGGTGAAATAACATTTGATAAAGTTGACCTTTTTATTATTTTCAAAAAATAGCAATAGCAATAGTAATTTTATACATAGTTTTGATATTTTATCATAGAACATCAATATTTCAGTGCGTTGAATTGAACTGGAATTAAATACCGCAAAGGGGGACAACTCATGCATTTTAAATTCGCCTTTGCGCATTTCTATATTTCATGAACTTAATACATATAATTCAAACTGATATTTTCTATTATTTTTTTCCCGAATATTTGTAATATTCGACATATTGATTTTAAAAATTCCCTTCAGAAAATGGTACACAGTTACCTCCCTTGCAGTGTTTATTTCTACAAGGATAAAACACAAATGCTTTTGACAGAGTTGTTCCGTTCTAACATTGGATATATCTATTATTACTTATTTTTGTCTAAAGATATACACGTAGTTGAGAAATGATTGGTCTGAAATACTATGTTGGGTAATTTTGTTATTTTCTTAAAAGAGCCCCCATCCCCTCCCCTCTCAATAAATAGAACAAATAAATCACTACCCTACTTTTTTTCCAGTGATGTTGCCTTAAACATATATTTTGTTTTGCCTAACTTGAATATGAAAAAATGAGCTAGCAATGTTTCTTCTTACTACCCACGTTGCGAGTATTTATCTTATCGTCGTCCAACATTCATAATGTTAGCTAAATAGTGTTGCATTTTGTTTGCTTGGTACAAAACATCTTGTGTATTGTTATAAACACAGTTTATTATCATAGACATGTCATTATATATCATTGATGCTATGGAGCATGTACTGGTAAGTAAATAGGTCGTATAAATACACTGAAACCTGCCTAATTCAGCCTCTGGTTATTCTGACATTATCTCATATAACTGTATTTTATTTTTTATAAGATATATGAAATAAATAAAGTAATAAAACTTGTGCATTCGTACACATTTTCTAACAGTTAGATCCCACAGGGTACCGAGTAATACTGGTAACAAACCGAGTAATACTGGTAACACACCGAGTAATACTGGTTACACACCGAGTAATACTGGTTACACACCGAATAATACTGGTTACACACCGATAATATTACTCGGTGTGTAACCAGTATTACTGGTAACACACCGAGTAATACTGGTTACACACCGAGTAATACTGGTTACACACCGAGTAATATTATCGGTTAACTGCCGATTACACACCGAGTAATAATGACGGTTACACAGCGAGTAATACTGGTTACACACCGAGTAATACTGCCGGATACACACCGAGTAATACTGGTTACACCCCGAGTAATACTGGTAACACACCGAGCAATACTGGTAACACACCGAGTAATCCTGGTTACACACCGAGTAATATTGGTAACACACCAGGTAATACTGGTAACACACCGAGAAATACTGGTTACACACCGAGAAATACTGGTAACACACCGAGTAATACTGGTTACACACCGAGTAATATTGGTAACACACCGGGTAATACTGGTAACACACCGAGTAATACTGGTAACACACCGAGTAATACTGGTTACACACCGAGTAATATTATCGGTTACACACCGAGTAATACTGCCGATTACACACCGAGTAATACTGCCGGTTACACACCGAGTAATACTGGTTACACACCGAGTAATGTTGGTAACACACCGGGTAATACTGGTAACACACCGAGCAATACTGGTAACACACCGAGTAATACTGGTTACACACCGAGTAATACTGGTTACACAACGAGTAATACTGCTGGTTACACACCGAGTAATACTGGTTACACACCGAGTAATACTGGTAACACACCGAGTAATACTGGTTACACACCGATTAATACTGGTTACACACCGAGTAATACTAGTTACACACCGAGTAATACTAGTTTTTTTATTAATAAAACAACTATTCAGGTAAAAGGCAAACACAAACAAACAGTTGATTTATATACAGTATAAAGACAGTTTGGAGATAGTATCACAAATATACTGTTCCAACCTAAAATATCAATATAAAAAAATCACAGAAACAAATACTTAACATATGTTATCTTTGTAACATCAAACACGGGGTTCAGTAAAAAACATAACTGAATATGCTGTGATAGTATACTGAGAAAAGTCTTATTACACACATTGTATGTATATATATACTTGCGTAACACGTGGAGTTTCCTTGTAGGTAGACTGCACACATGACACGCCAGACGTATGGATGGCATGCCCAGTGACCACGTAAAATAATAGCCGTCAGACACGGACACAACTATAATGACGTTTTTCTGGTGAAGGTAGGTGAGTTAATTATTGATACCGTTTTATTAACAGTAGCAGACGAATATTTAATGCTTAATAATGGAATTTTCTTGTCCGTTCCAGAAGAGTTTTGTAGAAAATCAGTCACATATATCGTATGACATCGTTTTGAAACATACATTCATTAATACAAATTTGAAATTCTTGCTGAAAATTTCTTTTTCCGTACATTGTACAGTTTACCAATTCATAAGAGAATTTAGATATGTTTGTACTAAATTTCCTGTTGAATCTTTTTCACAAAATAGTTGCAAGAATGTGTTTCAGGTGTGAACTTGTCTGTGAGAGAAAATAGATTGTTATGTACAAAATAATGTCCAGCTGTGTAGATTTTTTGCAATTATGTCCTCACGTTAATGTTATTTGTCTTACGAAATGTTCCGTTATTTTAAAAATGTCAACATGTAAACAAGCACTCATTTAGCAAAACTACTCAAAGACTGATGCATGTTACCGGTGCAAATTACATCAATATCACAATATTTTACCTTTACAATATGCAAATAGAAAAGACGTAGAGTTGACTAGAGTTGTAATTAATACTTATTTAGTGGTGTTTCATGTTGCTTTTGTTAACAAGCTATCAAAGCCAAGTTTATGATAACGTAATTAATTATCTAATTAATAAGTTTAAAATATGGGTTCCTGCATATATTTACAATATTTCAATATTTTAAGATAAATAAAGCGTCATGGTATTTTTTCTTGTATCGAAGAAGTTCGAGAAATTAAGCGCAAGTGAAATTTAGACGATATATACCTCTTTTTAAGTTAGTTTGAACACATAATATGTTGATGCAATGTTTCGAACTATTATCATCTTAATGCTATTTATGCTACTAAACCGATAACCAGAAAAGTTAAAAGACATGGTTAAAGATATATGTATTGAGTTATTACCTGGAAACCCTTTGATTTGAGGGTAGACCCGTTTTATATTTCACACATAAACCGTGTGATGTTTAGCCTACAGAAAATCGGGTTGGGATTTTAAGACATATCAAAGTACAATGAAAATGCTTCATGACATCACGTGGTTAGCATTTTATATATCCGTTTGGATTCGTCACAAAACGAAAAGCATGTCAGCAAGGCATAAAAAGACTGAAAATCAGCAACAAGTTATCTTCAATATAACGGTGTTTTCTCTGAGGCTCCAAAACATTGATAACTTGTACATATCTATATGACCACATCAAATTTAGGAGTCCAGGGGACTTTTACACACTAACAGTTTGCGCATGTCCGCATAACCTAATTACAGGATGAAATACAGTACTAGTATAACGTTTAACCCTCTGGTAGGATAAACATATTGTTCAATAAAGCATTTTAAAGACATTGTTAAGTATATATTCACATTACCGTATTAGTGGGTTTCGTGTGAATTTTGAGATAGGCATAGTATGATGTCACTTTCATGGCCTCATTTTAAGATTGTATGAGACTTTTTAGACATTGATAGGATTTACCTATATGAATGACAGCATTAGAGGATTTCTCGTGACCTTTGAGGAATTGGCAGAATCTGCTGGTTCTGATGACCTCATCAAAGGATTTCCGAATTTCGAGACAGTGACAGGAAATGCTTATCCAAGTTGACTTGACCTCATAAAGGATTCTTTTCTGACATTGGTCGTATACTTGACGTGTACTTAAACACATTAAACAACGGCCTCACTGTTGGAACTGTAGGTATGTCGATAGGTTTAACATATACGTGAACTTATTGGCAGGTTACTTAGAACTGTAGAAGCCTAGGCAACATAAAAATGCCGCTGACCTCGTTAGAGGTCACTTGAGAATACATTAACATGTATCGTTATTGATGAACGATGTAACGGCGTGCATGGGGCTTTGTATAAAAATATATAGATCACGATACAATGTCAAACTTGACTGATCACGTGTCAATAAATCTCGCGCTCGAATAGTAGCTGTAGTACTGAGGTGTATAACACTACGATATGGTATTGCGGAGACATCCGGTCGTGATAATGTGCATACATGTATATACTTTCTACAAATGAATGCTATACATTGACAGTTGCTATATAAATGTAGTGTTTATGTTAAAAGATCAAGGTCATACAAACAAAAGCTGAGGAATGTCTTAAAAAAGGGTTAAAGAAGCACATTATCAATCTATTCCTTTCAAAACCACAACGTGTTATTTATTTCCAAGTAATCGGTTAAATAATGTATATTCTGCTTCTTACACGAGGACAGCAAGCTTATGACATTGATCACGTTGGTTGATACACTGATTTAGACACCGCGTAATATTAAATACTTTGCGAATGCCTGGTTTTGTCTTCTCTTCATGTTTACATGCAATTCCAATCCTGATCGGAAGATAAGCACGTAACTTTAATTTCCATTTTTTGTCATTTTTTCTGTCTTAACTTTGCTACCTTCTCTTGTTTTAAAAATGAAATATTGTTCCGATAAATTATATTCCTGTTATAAAAGAAATGGTAATCCAGCACCCATAGTGTACTTTGCAATTGCTGTATAGGCTTAATAACAACTAGACGTACGAAGTGAGAAAGTATCTATTTCTAACAATAACAGAACAACGAAGTAAGAATACTATTTGTAAATTAATATCGTTTATCAATAAAGTCAAAAGGCCATTTCGTCTACTATGACTAAGTAAACTGAATTAATGTTGAAAGACTTTGAAGGGAATATGTCATCTTTGGTAAACATAACATATTAAAAAATCAACCTTTTGGTAACCTTGCTATTTTATTTGCTAATAGTATCTCTTATGTTTTCGTTATGTTTTCGTGTCTTGCCCATCCCTTTATCAATTACATATTTGCGAGATTGACGGGCGATGATTATGACGCCGCAACGATTCCATGTCGTCACTTTGTCACAAATCGCAATATTTAGTCGGGATACTTTTAATTCATACTGGTTTTAAAGTCATTATATACCTTATCTCATAATAAGATATATTTATCTCCTTCTTCATTGTTCATAAATTTCAAACCAAACTGAAAGATAACATTTCATCTTTTATAAATGATTTACGTTGAGTTATTGTGCAGCTAACATTTGGTCGCGTGTAAACCCCTAGTAGTATTTATTAGCATTACAATACTACCAGCGTGTGTTTTAAGTGAGATGATCAAAGGTTTATTGCAAACATTACAACAAAACAACGTTAAAAACTTCCCTATATTTTCAATTCATTTTATTTTTGCATTGGTTTCGTTTTATGTATATAAGGACGTCAGCTATTTCGGGCAACAAAGGATTGTGTTGTAGCAAAATAGATCTAAAGAATTTTGCGAACAAAGGATTTTAACACCTGTTATATGATAGTCGTCCTCGCTGTTTAGAATGATAAATGTTAATTATGATATTACGCTAGGTCGCTGTTTAGTCATATGTACAGAGATACCGAAATAGAATGATGAAAGGGGTTTAGGTGAGATCTTGGCCGTTCAGTCATCACACTTCATTTTGGTATGTAATAATTGATAACGACTTCCACAGTCATCATTCGCCTGACGGTGGAAGTGACTTGGTGTTCTTTTGAAAATTTAATCTAGTTTGGCATAACCTCCGAGTTTTTATACTTAATTTTATACTACAAACACACTTATACCTTAGAGAGGTATTCTAGTAAACTTATTAAACATATTTGTCATCAAATGTTCTAGAAGACAACTTAGATGTGTTCAACTTTCTGTCGTTAACGATATAGAGCGGAGTGACTCACCATCTTGCTCACATTAACAGTTTCGAGATACTTTCTTACAAAAATACCTAATATGCACAATCTTAAGATTGTTGAAAACGTTACAGGAAACTTAATAACTTTTCTTCAACGTCGTTGACAATGGGGGCAAGGGTCACACTTTAATATAATAAACTCAAGCAGTTATTTTGAAATTACTGAACATGTTGTAAACACAGAAAATGGGCGTCCACTTCTATAGACATCAAGTAACGTTTTTAGATTTGTTTCAGGTGAGTCCTGGACGTCCTGTTGTTAAAGGTTTTGATGAGTCCCATAACTAAGAAATATGGTTGATTCTCTAAGGTTGATAAGTCCCACATGGAAAGCATCAGCCCAGGTCAGAAAAAATCTCCAAAAACTACTGGCCAACACACTCAAGTACTCAGTTTTCTTGTAAAATGTAATATAACATCATCTACAAGTCGTCTACTTTATTTCTAACCTAATTTGGTGTTTCATCCTCTATGTAGCCATAGACACTATTCATTTCCAATTGTTTGTATTTAAGTGGGACGTCCAAGCCCCTCTTACTTATTTGTCCAGAAGTTAACGTCTCAACACCAGCTAGGGAAGCAGGTAATGAATACCTTTTTAATCTGATTATTTTTCAACATGCTTCAGGCAGAATTCGGTTAGGTTAAGATGTGACTTCACGTTGTCTCGGACGCTAAGGTCATACGATGATATGACCGCATCGAAATGACATAATACTGTAATGTCACAAGTTTTTGTACATCAGTAAGGCATTCAAATTAATATCCGCTGATATTGGATAATGATAATTAAGGCGATTTCTCATGGCTGCTAAAATAGTGACACGGTTAGTGAGTATAAACATAATAATATAACACCCTCTACTCATTATTAACTTTAAATTAAACATTACTCTTTTATTTTTTGAAATTCATATAATTAAGCTTTTTGTTTGTACCGCCAGACATCTGTATCAACAGACCAATTTCGACTTCCACATTTTGGACGCTATTACCACCGATGAGTAAGCATAAATGACCAACGTTTTCTCACCATTCTATACCAAAACTAAACAAATTTCATACCAAATACATGAACCCGCATAACTCGAATACTCGGATAACTCGATGTTTTCCCACGACGCCATCGACTTCGAGATAACGAGGTTCGACTGTAACAGTATCGGTCAACTAATGAAGCTGACATGTGAGTGGCAATTAAGATAAGTAATGTCACAGGATACGTTTTT